TGCCACTGCACTCCAGCCTGGGTGACAAGGCGAGATTCCATCTCAAAAAAAAAAAAAAAAAAAAAGCAGACAATTGCAATGTTTACAAAACACACTGGCATACATTATGTCATTTCACATCATGAGAATCCACTTCAATAGGTATCACACGTGATTTTATACCCAATAGAAGAGAAACTGAGGCACAGAGAGGCTAAGTAACTTGTCCAAGGAGGCTAAGTAACATACCCCACTAGTAAGAGGAGTTGTAATAAGAACCAGTTCTGCATACTTCAAGCCCAGGGCTCTTTCTGTGGCATTCTACTGCTCCAGCATAATGCGCATATTTTCTGGTGCCTGTGATACTAGCAACACCAGGCTCATTAAGAGGGCTGATATCCTGTGAGCTGAAAGAGGCATTGATAGTATCATGGAATGCAACCCTTAAACGCACCTGAGAATAGTTAGGAACATTTTTTTCTTCTCACGAATTATAATTTCCCTTCTATCAAAAAGAATTTGAGGCCACTTTCAACAAAATGTAATGCTGTTTTTAAACAGTTAAAAGAACAGGTGATGAGGGGAAATAGAGATGAAATCCCTGCCTTCAGGAAATCAAAGTTAAGAATAGGCAGCACGAGTGGGCACAGATCGTAGCTCTGAGCCTCCTGAATGACAAGACAAACTGGGAAGTGACAAAGTTCTTGTTGTCTATAAAAGGAGGCATACTAATTTTAAGTTTAGCATATATTATCACCATTTGTTCTCTAATTTCTAAAGCACATAGCAAAAATCCCTATTATGGAAAACATTGATTAAAAAGTAGAGCATTTGGCCAAGCGCAGTGGCTTATGCCTGCAATCCCAGTGTTTCAGGAGGCCGAGATAGTGGATCACTTGAGGTCAGGAGTTCAAGACCAGCCTGGCCAACATGGTGAAACTTCATCTCTACTAAAAATACAAAATCAGCGGGGCATGGTGGAGTGTGCCTGTAATCCCAGTTACTCTGGAGGCTGACGCAGGAAAATTGCTTTAATCCAGGAGGTAGAGGTTGCAGTGAGCCGAGATTCTGCACTGCACCGTGCCCAGCCTAATTCTTTATTTAAAAGTAGGATAGCTACTAGGAAGAATGATTGGAGATTGTGCCAGCCTGGGCAACAGAGTGAGACTCTGTCTAAAAAAAAACAAAAACAAAAACAAATATATATACATAGAGAGAGAGAGAGTATTTTATTTAAAAATTGATTTGTTCTATTTGTAAAGTCCATAGTTGATCAGAAGATTTGTAAATTTATTAAGAACATACTCCCTAGCCCATGGTCACTAATATTAACAGTCTGGTACATCTTGAAAAGGAAAATGGGACAATTGTCATCCAATTTAGAAGGATTGTATAGGAAAGTTTTAGAACTGTAATTTTGGGGAAAGGATAAGCAAAGTGTCACCTTTGTCATAAATAGCACACATTTCAAATTCTTAACTGGATGCATGATAGCTGCAAGAGCACTTCAAACACAGGATGAAACACAGGATGACACACAGCAGCTCTGAGCACATTTCCTCCTTCACGCACTCATTCGGCCAGTAGATTCTGAGGGCTCACAGAGCGGGCATTCACGCACGGTTCTTAAGGGTGGAAATAGCAGTAAACAAAAACCTCTGCCTTCACCATGCGCTTCCATGATAAAAGACAGTACGTTGCACAAATTAAAGATGGTTGTTCTCATCCAAATCAGTTTTCCTAAAAAGGCAACTGTGTTTAGGGCAGCCCTGTGTTACTGCAGACGTTGAGACAGATCCTTGGCTTTTGGTACAGCACTACCTAGAGCTTAGGAACAGCTAGAAAAAAAGGAGGAGCAAACCTCAATCCACAAACAAGGCTGGGGCCTAGATCCCGCCCTTCTGAGATCACTACAGATGGAGGGGTGGGCCTACCTTCTGCTGCAGAAGCAGCCAAGTACCTCTTTCAGTCTGATGGTATAGTTCTCGTCTAGAAATGGCTTCAAGAAGTAGCAAGAAGAAGAAGAAAGCAAGCTACGACAGCCATAGAAGCTGTTAGCCGGGTTGAAAAAAAAAAAAAAAAAAAGAGGAGAAAGACAAGTTTTTAAAACCCATACAGGCATTCATTCAACAAATATTTATGAAATCTTCACTGTATATACAAAAAGGCCCTGAGGAAGTAGTGGGAGAGAGGGAAAGACATGGTTCTGCCCTCGTGTCTCTTCCAATCTAGAGAATCAGATATAGAACAAGTAATCAATTCTTTTTTTTTGAAATGGAGTCTCACTCTGCCTCCCAGGCTGAAGCGCAGTGGTGCAGTCTCGGCTCACCACAACTTTCGCCTCCTAGATTCAAGCGATTCTCCCACCTCAATTTCTCAAGTAGCTGGGATTGCAGCTGCCCGCCACCATGCCTGGCTAATTTTTGTATTCTTTGTAGAGATGGGGTTTTGCCATGTTGGCCAGGCTGGTCTCGAATTCCTGACCTCAGGTGATCCACCCACCTTGGCCTCCCAAAGTGCTGGGATTACAGGCATGAGCCACCGTGCCCAGCCTAATTCTTTATTTAAAAGTAGGATAGCTACTAGGAAGAACGACTGGAGATTGTGAGCTATAAAAAGGCAAACTAACCTAGTGCCAAAGATACCAGAAACCCATTTACCCATTCCAACTCACCTTCCCTCCCTCTCTGGCACACACACAAGTGGGCACAGACACAGGCATACACAGTCACGATATAATCAAGCTCCTACTATCTTCCTTTTTCAAGGAGACTACTTTGGGGCTGGAAACACTAAGGATGCTTCTTTCTAGTTTTTAGGCCAACAGGCTGCAAGCCTAGAAAATCTCATGGCCAATATTCCTACTCTGAGCTAAGATGCAGTTGGGTCTAGAGAAAAAAAGAAATATTGACTGGGCGTGGTGGCTCATGCCTGTAATCCCAGCACTTTGGGAGGCCGAGGCAGGCAGATCACCTGAAGTCAGGAGTTAGAAACCAGCCTGGCCAACATAGTGAAACCCCGTCTCTGCTAAAAATACAAAAATTAGCTGGGCGTGGTGGTGTGCACCTGTAATCCCAGCTACTTGAGAGGCTGAGACAAGAGAATCGCTTTAACCCATGAGGCGGAGGTTGCAGTGAGCAGAGATCACACCACTGCACTCCAGCCTGGGAGACAGAGTGAGACTCTATCTCAAAAAAAAAAGGGGGGGGGGAAGAAATATTTAGACAATTACTTCTTCAAATGTCTTGTAGATCTTTGAGTTTATGGTGCTTGTCCCTATTGATACTTAATTAGAACCTCCAATAAGAACTTGCATGACAGCACAGTGCTGAAAGTGAAAATGACAGCTTCCTGTTGGACTATGTGCTGATTTACAGCAGTTTAGTCTCAGGAAAGAAAAACTACATAAAAATAGAAGATGTAAAAGGTGAAATCGAAAAATTACAACTTAGAATCTGCATATACTGAACTTTGATTGGCTGTCAAATTATATTAACCAACAACGTCAAGTTGAAAAAAAGCAAATGAAAAACAAGGAACATTATTCTGTACAAAGCATTGAGCTAGTCAAATTTTCTCACTTTTTAGTTATAGAAATATAATGTAATTGTGGTAGACAAAAATTAGAAAATTTAGACAAGAACGTAAAAGATAAAAATGCAGCTGACCCTTGAACAGCACAGGGATTAGGGGTACCTATCCCCAACAAATCCCACAGTCAGAATTCTGCAGATAACTTTCAATTTCCCCAAAACTTAACTACTGCCAGCCTACTGCTGACCAGTAGCCTTACCAATAACATAAACCATCAATTAATACATATTTTGTATGTTATATGTATTACATGCTGTATTCTTACAATAAAGTAAGCTAGAGAAAAGAAAATGTTACTAAGAAAATCATAAAGAAGGGAATATATATTTACTATTCATTAAGTGGCAATGGATCAACATAAAAGTCTTCACCTTTGGCCCTGTGCAGTGGCCCACGCCTGTAATCCCAGCACTTTGGAAGGCCAAGACGGGTGGATCACAAGGTCAGCAGTTTGAGACCAGCCTGCCCAAAGTGGCAAAACCCTGTCTCTAGTAAAAATACAAAAATTAGCTGGGTGTGGTGACACACACCTGTAGTCCCAGTTACTCAGGAGGCTGAGGCGGGAGAATCACTTGTACCTGGAAGGCAGAGGTTGCAGTGAACCAAGACCACGTCATTGCACTCCAGCCTAAAAGACAGAGCAAGACTCTGTCTCAAAAAATAAAATTTTAAAAAAAGTCTCCATCTTCGTAGTCTTGACGTTGAACAGGATGAGGAAAAGGAAGAGGTGGGGTTGGTCTTGCTGTCTCAAGGGCAACAGAGGAGGAAGAAAATCCATGCATAAGTGGGCCTGCAGAGTTCAAACCCATGTTGTTCAAGGGTCCACTGTATAGCCATTATTAATAACCAAAGTACTTTTCATTAAATGACTGTAACAAAATGTATTTAACCAATTTCCTATTATTGGACATTTAAGGTATTTCTGATGTTTAACACAAATGCTTTAATGAACAGCTTTGTACATACATCTTTGCATAATGTATCTCTCATTATTTTCTTATGATAAGCTCTTAGAAGTGGAATTTCTCAGTTGAACAGTATTCAGATGTTAAAAAGCAGAATTATAGCAATAGCCAAATTCAGTCATTTAAATTCTTTTTTAAGGTGCTTACAGCATCTTCAAACTTAGTAAGCATTCAAAAATTGAAAGAGAACAGTCTTTATTTTCATATCAAAGTCAATAATAACATTACATATATTTAATATATAACTTCAGAACTCTGACATTTCTTAAAACTTCACCAAATACTGACAGACAGTAATACCATATGGTTACAGACGCTTCTGAGAGAGCAAGCCTGTTTCCAATTGCAATACAACAAATATGTTAACTGACTGGTTCATTTCTGAATTTAAAATGCTGAACAGAAAACCAATCACACCAAAGATAGACAATATTTTTTAAAGTACACAACTGCACTACATACCACAGCAGAAGGACACAGGACTGACACATGTATTTATTTGTTCGGTTTATGGGCAAAGTCATCATCTCTCTGGATCTCAGTTCTGAGGGGAAAGACACAAGAGCCAGGGTTTCCAGAATTTTAGATTTAATAGACCAATTAAACTCAAAAAAAAAAAAAATCAAGAAGGAACTAACAACTAATGCAGGGTTACCAAGGAAATAAAAACACACCACAACCACCTACTAGTGTATCATCCATAAATAACCTTAAAATGGGAGGAGGGCAACATACTCTCTGAATAAGAAACCTCCTTAAACGTAATGCATGTAACCTGATTTTTATTTTTTTAATCTGCTCCATTGCTCATGTTTTTCTCATTTTGCCCTGCAGTGTGAAAACTGTGCCTCAGACTTGTACTAGTTCACCAACTCTTGATTGAAAACAACTTCCCTAGATAACTCCTAAATCCTTTCCAGATTCTAAAATGCTGTGTTTTGTGATTCCAAATTTTAATTTAGGCTCTATGTAAAGAAGTCATTTGCAAGGCCTTTTTTTTTTTTTTTTTTTTTTGAGATGGAGTCTTGCTCTGTAGCCCAGGCTGGAGTGCAGTGGTGCTATCTTGGCTCACTGCAAGCTCCGCCTCCCGGGTTTATGCCATTCTCCTGCCTCAGCCTCCCAAGTAGCTGGGACTACAGGTGCCTGCCACCACGCCCGGCTAATTTTTTGTATTTTTAGTAGAGACGGGGTTTCACCGTGTTAGCCAGGATCATCTCGATCTCCTGACCTCGTGATCCGCCTGCCTCGGCCTCCCAAAGTACTGGGATTACAGGCGTGAGCCACCATGCCCAGCCTTTGCAAGGACTTAAAACTCAGTCTCTCTTACTTCTTTGAGGCTGCCAATGAGTTGATCCCATGAAGTGGGGGTCAGGGGTGGATGCTTTCCAAGGGAGGGCCTCCTGGAGCCAGGTAGTGAGCCATGCATGCAATAAGGACACAGAGACGCAAAGCACAGCCTCTGCCTTCAGGGTGTTGTCACCTAGGGAGCAACAGGAGACTGATACCCAGGAGGGCACAAGTGATAGAACACAGGAGGTATGCCTGGGGTACCTGGGAGCATTTAGGAGCAGCATTGTACCCAGATGGATAGAGGTGAGTGGGCCAGATCTTCCAGATAAGATGACACACTGAGCCTTGGCAGCTGAGGATGCCACTACAGGCCACGAGCATCCTTTGTAAAGCTAAAGCATATCAGAAGTCATGGAGAATCCTGGCCGGGTGCGGTGGCTCACGCCTGTAATCCCAGCACTTTGGGAGGCCGAGGCAGGCTGATCATTTAAGGCTAGGAGTTCGAGACCAGCCTGGCCAACGTGGCAATACCCCGTCTCTACTGAAAAAATAAGCTGGGTCTGGTGGTGCACACCTGTCATCCCAGCTACTCAGGAGGCCGAGGCACAAGAATCACTTGAACCCGGGAGGAGGAGGTTGCAGTGAGCCGAGATTGCGCCATTGTACTCCAGCCTGGGCGACAGAGCACCTGGGGAACCCCACATCCTAGTGAGTTCCAGTGAGAACAGAGTCTACGGGTTGGAGGGTTGCAGAAGATACTGAAGAGGCAGACACATTGCCAGGCCAAGAAAACCTGCAGTGCCACATTCAGGAGTTTGGACTTGATCCCCAAAATACTGGGATGTCACTGAACTCTTTTAATCAGGGGAGGAGACTGAGGCACAGCTCAAATTTTAAAATAGTTCAAACTGTATAGAAGTGCATAAAATTAAAAGGAGAATATTTCAATCTCCTCAACCAAAACCTACTCCCCAGAGTTAATCCCCGTTATGAGTTTCAGAGAAATCCACGTATATTTTACCTAAGCATATACAAATATATACAAAAGCATTTATGGGCCGGGTGCAGTGGCTCACGCCTGTAATCCCAGCACCTTGGGAGGCCGAGGTGGGTGGACCATGAAGTCAGGAGAGCGAGACCATCCTGGCTAACTCGGTGAAATCCCGTCTCTACTAAAAATACAAAAAATTAGCCGGGCATAGTGGCGGGCACCTGTAGTCCCAGCTACTCGGGAGGCTGAGGCAGGAGAATGGCATGAACCCGGGAGGCGGAGCTTGCAGTGCGCTGAGTTGTGCCACTGCACTCCAGCCTGGGCTACAGAGCGAGACTTCATCTCAAAAAAAAAAAAAAAAAAAAAAAGGCATTTATGTCCAACACAAATAATGTTTTGTGAGTTCTCTAAAAGAGAAAGTATTGTGCCACATATGTTGGTCTGCAACTTGCCTTTTTCACTTAATTATCAGTACAGATAGATCTCATTCTTTTCGACTACACAGCATTCCACTGTATGGGATGGGTATATTTAAAAATTAATTGAACCATTTCTTTGTTGGTGGTCATTCAAGCAGTTCCTAATTTCCTAGTTGTTGCTGCAGTGAACATCCTTGACTATTTGCATATCTATGTTTGTTTTCCTAAAGGACAGTTTCTTAGACTTCAAATTAGTAGGTTTAAAGAACCTATGCATTTAAAATTTTGAAAGCTACTGCCTAATTGCTCTCTAAAAAGTTGTTTCATTTTATGTTTGCCCAGGGTTATACAAGACTGCTCATCTCCGCCCACAATGGCCAAAGGTGGGAACTATCAAGCCTTTGAAACTTTGCCAATCTGAGACAGGAAAAATGCTATCTCATGATTGGTTCTGTTGGCTTTTTGTTGTTGTTGTTGTTAATGCACTCGACCAGCTTTTCACATATTTATTGACTAAATGTATTTTTGTCTATGAATTGCTTTCTTATAAACTCTGCTATCCTGAGATTCTCAACCTGTGGTCCCAAGGCCCCTGACATATAATATAAAATGTTCTGTGCTTATTGGTTGTACATTATTCTCAGGATAGGGGCCAAGGAACATTAAGAACCACTGATTTTTGACTTCCTGCTGGCAAGGATAATAAATAAATAAATAAATAAGTAAAAATATAAAAAATAAAGAACCACTGATTTTAATGGGTATATGCTGAAAAGTATATGTGGAAAGAAAGAAGCAGGCCTAGAAGAAAGGGTGTAAAACAGGTGAGGCAGGGTTCTATGATTCCATACCACAGTGTGCACACACACACACCTTTTTATTATCTCTCCCTCAATGACACCAGGACTTCCCAATAGTATTTCTCATTTTCCTTCCCAGAAGGCCCACCAACCAGAGGCAGGCTTATTTCTTTACTAATATGTTTGTACATATCACAGAGAATAAGGACAAACAAGTCAAGATGCTGCTTTATTTACATTCTGGTTTGTAGACACATTCAAAACTTTATACGGACAAGCTGTCACCCATTTTTTTGGAATCAGGACAACCATTAACTTCAATTCTATCTCCTAAATATTTCTCTAATCTGCCCATTTCTCTTCATTTCCACTCCAACTATCACATCTTGCTTCGACCATGGCAGCACCCTCCTACCTTGCTTCCCTATATCCTCTGTGCCATACTCTCTAATCCACTGTCCATGCTTTAGCCAAAACTCTCTCTTTACTCACCAGCTCTCAACCTGCCCATGGCTCCTCTTTGCTCTCTGGCTAAAGGGCCAACCCCTTGGTGCATGTGCCCAGCTGTGCAGTCTGCCCGACCTACCTCCTCTATGATGCTGAGCCCCTCTTCCCTCACCCTGGCTCCTACCACACCTGGGACACTCAGCCATTCTTTCTCCCACACCATGACCTTTGTCATTGTATTTCTTCTGCCTGAATGCTCTCTCTCCCACTCCTTTCTTTCACTGAGTTGACTTCTACTCAGCTTAAAAATAACTTCCCTGGCTTCCCAGGCCACGTCATGTGCTGCTATTTCATGCTTTCATAACAAAAGCATAAAATACTCCACTTGTTTTCTTTAGCAGTTATCCCAAATTTTCAATAATGTAGTTCATTAACATCTGCTTCCACTCTGGCAGGAGACATCCATGAAAATAGGATGGGATCTGTTTTGCTCTTCTTGAAATCCGAGAGCAGGGCTAACCCAGAGCAGATGACCAGTAAGTACCGTTGAAGCCGGGAGAGGAAAAGGATGCTTTTAGAAATGATCCTTTGTAGGCCTTTATTTTTTACACTTTCCTTCCAACCTAAGAGGACAGTAACTATGTCCTGGAAATGGAAATTTGCTAACCCTTTCAAGGCATTCCCAACATTTATCAGGAACCTACTATGTACATACTAGGCACCCTTCTAGGAACCGGGAGACACTACAGTAAAAAAAAAAAAAAAAAAAAAAAAAAAAATATTCCAGACCAATCTTCTCCTTACATTCTAGGAAGAAACAGATAGTCAACATCATAGATCAGTAAATTATATAGTATTCTTAGAAGATGAAAAGTGCTGTGAAGAAAAAGAGAGCTGAGTAAGTTGGATGAAAGAAGAAAGGAGAAGAGGGAACTCACACCCATTCGTTGTATGTTAAAAAACCAGGTTGAGGAGGCCGGTCGCGGTGGCTCACACCTGTAATCCCAGTACTTTGGGAGGCCGAGGCAGGCAGATCGCAAGGTCAGGAGTTCAAGACCAGCCTGGCCAGTATGGTGAAACCCCCATCTCTACTAAAAACACAAAAATTAGCTGAGCATGGTGATGGGCGCCTGTAATCCCAGCTGCTCGGGAAGCTGAGGCAGGAGAATCGTTTGAAACTGGGAGGTGGAGGTTGCAGTGAGCCAAGATCATGCCATTGCACTCCAAACTGGGAAACAAGCACGAAACTCTGTCTCAAAAAAAAAAAAACTAGGTTGGGGAGACAGATATAGAGGGGGTGTCATGAAGTGACATAAGCTCATGAAGTTTAACCTAAGTTTGAGAAAAACAACAGAAATAGATACACATACATACTAACTCTGGTAGTAAAAGATCGTGTACATCAGCTTGTGAGCTGCCTTGAACAGCGTGCTGGCCGGTTTGAGTAGCTCCTCTCACTCCCTGAGTGCATCCACATCTTGCTCAAGAACTTCATCAATTTCAATGTTAACTCTATTTCTCAGAACCCAGTCCCTTTCCCTGGCACAGCTGGTGGATCTTTCTTCCATGTTCCTAAGGCCTTTTGTTCACCTCTAAGGTGTCACTCATTTCCCTATCCTGTGATTATTTTTGTGTCAGTCCCACCAGAACACAGGAACTCCTCAAGGGCAGAAACCATGTCCCAGCACCCAGTGTCTGATAGCTTCCAGCATTTGGTAATACAGAATGCGCTCAAAGCATTTGACAAATGAGTGAATGAAAGAATGGCTAGAGAATGAATGAAGGGAGTTAGAATGAGTGTAGCTCTGGCAATTGGAATGCACCTTGTTCTGAGCAGCTGAATTCTCTGGAAATTCTCCGTATATGTGTATGCTCATCTTCAGCACTTCTGCAACCAAGAATATTGGAGTAGTCAGACAAGTTCTTCTCTAGAGGTAAGCAGAAATGCTCGGTTTAGACTCATTAGTGGGTTACAAAATTAATCTAATAGGTCCTGAAAAGCATTTTTTAAATTAGCTAGAATACAAGAAAACAGAGTGCATCCAAATACATAAGGTCAAGTGATTTGGGGACATGTGGCCCAATTTGCCCAGAACACCCTGCTTTATTCTTATTGGCCCAGCGTAGGTATTACTTTCAAAATAATAACTTTCCCAGTGTGTACTGTAAATTGGGTGATGACGTTCATAATACATACATTTGTGTATAATGTATGTACTGCTTTATGAAGTAAAGCATATTTCTTACAGTGGACAATGGTCAAAACAAGTTTGAAATTATGTAAGATAAGATCAACATAGAAAATAAAAATTAAAAAATTAAAAATTTGATAAACATTTTTCTTGAGAGATTCAAACTTCTGAGACTCCAGGGAAGCAGCATCAAGGAGAAAAAGTCAGGGAAAAGCAGAGGGAAGAAAATAAAATTGAAGTGTGCCTGGATAGCTTTCTAATCCTCACACTATCCTGTGTGGAAGGCAGAACTGTTCCATCTTACAAATGGGGAATGAAGCTCACAGGGCTTAAAGAACTTGCCCAGGTCTATATGCCATCAAGCCACCGTGCCAGCACTGAAATCTAGGTCTACACATAATGAAAAGTAAAAGCATTTTGTTCTACACATAGCAGGGGAAAGGATTTTTTTCCACTTCTTGGACACCACAATATTTGTAACCACATCAAAATTGAGGAGGGGATAATGGAACATATCTTCCAATGTCCTATTATGACTTTTGTAATTTAAGAAACATACTTTTATTTTGGAAATATTCTGCATTTGAAAGTAGTTAGCATTTTGATTCAGAGATCAGTTCTTAATTATGGACCAAAAAAGTGGATAAGTGTTTCAGATTGATGAAATAAGCCTTGCTAGGCAAAAGCAAAGAAAATGAGCAGTTCTGTGCAAAGTGGCACATTAATAAAGAGTGCAGGGACTGAAGTCTGACAACCATTGATCCAAATCTTAACAGCCAGGGGACTGCAGACAAGTTCTCAAATTTCTCTGTGCCTTAGTTCACTCATCTATAAAATGCCCACAACAGTACCTACCTCATGGGGTTCTAATAAAGACAAAACAATCCACATAAAGCTCTGAACATGTTTCCTGGAATGTAGTAAATGCTTGGTAATGTTGACCACAGTCAAAATAGAAATCAAGACTATTGGAGCCAAAGGTGCTCTCATTTCACTTTTATTTGTACTTCCCATTGTCATACACCCGCACCTTCAATAGTCTTCCTCTAGCTGCTCACACATTCCTGCAATAACCCCCACTTGGCCATGAGACATTATTTAAGAGAGTGTTGCACACAATTTGCTAGTATTTTGCTAAGAATTTTTACATCTATGTTTATGAAGGATATTAGTTTCTAGTTGTTGTTTTTCTCTTTTTTCCCCTTGTAATATCTGTCAGATTTTACACCAAGATGATGCTAGCCTCTTAAGATGAACTGGGCAGTATTTCATCCTCCTAGTTTCAAAGAGTTTGTAAAACATTGGTATATATCTTTCTTAAATGTTTGATAGAATTCACAACCGAAGCCATCTGGGCCTATTTTATTGATTTCTGCTTTTGTCTTTGTTATTTTCTCCCTTCTGTTTTCTTTGGGTTTAATTTGTCTTCCATGTCTTGATTTTTTAAGGCAGTATTTTAGATTGCTAATTTTAGACCTTTCATATTTTCTAATATGAACACTTAATATTTTACATTTCCCTTGAGACACTGCTGTAGCTACATCTACATCCCACACTTTTGATATGTGTGTTTTCATTTTTAGTCAGTTCAAAATATTTTTTAAGTTCTCTTGTGATTTCTTCTCTGAGCCATGTGTTGTTTAGTCGTCTATTGCTTAATTCCTAAATATTTGGAGATCTCTCAAATAGCTGTTATTGATTTCTAATTGAATTTCATTATGAGTGGAGGACATACTCTATGATTTCAATACTTTTAAACTTGTTGGAACTTGTTTATGATTAACATATAGTCTCTTTTGGTTAATGTTCCATGTGAACTTGAAAAGAATATATATTCTGCTATCATTGGACAGAGTGCAGTCAGGTCCAGTTGACTGGTACTGTCTTCTATATCCTTGCTGATTTTCTGTCTTACTTCTTTACTGATTGCTAAGTGAAGAGTATTGAAATCTGTAACTGTAATTGTGGGGTTTTTAAAAAATTTCCTTTCAGTTCTGTCAGGTTTTGCTACATGTACTTTGAAGTTCGAGTACATTTAGGATTGTCATATCACCCAGATGAATTGATGTCTTTATCATTATGAAAAGTCCCTCCTTATTCCTAGTAATATTCCTTTTTATATTGTCTGCTCTGATATTAACATAGCCAGTCTAGTTTTCTTGTAATTCATGTTTGCATAGTATATCTTTTTCCATCCTTTTAATTCTAACTTTCTGTTCTATAAAGTAGTTTCCTTGTACACAGCACATAATAGGATCTTGCTTTTTTTAACCAGTCTGACAACCTCTGACTTTTTAATTGGAGTGTTTAAACCACTTACACTTAACATAATTATCAATATGGCTGAATTTAAATCTACTATTTGTTATTGGTTTTCTATTAGACTCATCTCTCCTTGTTATTGTTTCTTTTTTTCTGCTTCTTTTGAATTAATTAGTGCTTTTTAATATTTCATTTTATCTCTATTGCTGGAGATACATATATATGTATATACACAAACACACATATATGTTTATGTATATACATAGAACTTTATTTTTTCATAATTTTCCTACTTTTTAAAATATGCATTTCTAACTCATAATACATGTTCAACTAATATTATACTACTTGATATGTAATGTAAAACTCTTATAGCTATAGGCTTACGATGGTTTGACTTTATGATGGTGGGAAAGCAATACACATTCAGTAGAAATCATACTTTGGATTTTAAATTTTGATCTTTTCCTTGGCTAGCAATATGCTGTGTGATAGTCTGTTGCAATGCTGGGCAGTGGCAGTAAGCCACAGCTGCCAGTCAGCCATGCAGTCACGAAGGTAAACAACAGATACTCTACAGTGTACTGTGTTGCCAGTGTTTTTTGATACTGTGTTTTGTGGTTTTGCATCCCATCGTGTCCATAAAACGCCAGTTTTGACTTATGATATTTTCTACTTACGATGGGTTTATCAGGCTGTAACCCCACCATAAATTAAGAAGCATCTATATAGACTTCCATTTCTCCCTATCCTGTCCTTCAAGCTGTGGTCAAATATTTCACTTCTATTCATATATATTTGATATATCTCAAAAATCCAGTGTTATTGTTTTTGCTTCATGCAGTCAATTAACTTTTCAAGAAATTTAAAAATAAGAACACAGTCTTTTCTATTTGCCCACATATTTACCACTTCTGAAAGAGTGTCTTTCAAGTTTCCATCTGGTATCATTTTGCTTTCGCCTGAATAATTTCCTTTAAACATTTCTTGTTGTATATATCTGCCGACAACAAATTCCCTCAAGTTTTGTCTGATAAACTTTATTTCATCTTTGTTTTTGAAGATGTTTTCATTAAATATAGAATGCTAGGCTGCCTTTTTCTTTGAGCACTCTAAAGATGTTATTTCATTGTCTTCAGGCTTACAAAGCTGGAGGTGAAATGAAGTCTGTGATCCTTCTGATGTCTGTTCTGTATATAATGTGTATTCTTCTCTGATTGCCTTTAAGATTTTCTGTGCAACACTGGTCTTCGGCAACTTGATTATGTGCCTTTGTTTCTTTATTTCATTTTATTTATGGAGATGGGGTCTTATTATGTTGCCCCAGCTGGTCTCAAACCCTAGGCTCAAACAATCTTACCACCTCAGCCTCTCTAGTACCTGGGACTACAAAAGTGCATGCCACCATGCCTAGATCTAAATTTTTTTTAATGAATTTTTTTCAGCTCCTGGTTCCTTAAGCTTCTTAGATTTATGAAATAGTTTTCATCAAAGTTTGAAATATTTCAACTATCATTTCTTCAACTACTTTTTCTGTCCCTTCTCCTTTTCTCCATGTATAATAGACTGCTTGATATTATCCCATAGATCACTGGGTCTCTGTTCACCATTTTTTTTTCAGTTTTTTGTTTCTCTCTGTGATTCAGCTTGCATAGGTAATGTTGCTATATTTGTAGGTTCACTAATCTTTTCTTCTGCATTGCCTAATCTGCTACTAATCCCATCTAGTGGATTTTCATTTCAGATGTTGTATTTAGTCCTGTTTTGTTCTTTTTTACATCTTTCATTTTTTTCTGATTATTTTTGTGTTTTCATTTATTTTTGATTTTATTTTATTTAGAGACAGGGTCTCACTCTGTCACTCAGGCTGGAGCGCAGTGGTACAATCACAGCTCACTACAACCTCAACCTCCTAGGCTCAAATGATCCTCCCACCTTAGCCTCCTAAGTAGCTGGGACCACAGGCATGCACCACCACACCCAACTAATTTTTAAATTATCCTTGGTAGAGATGGAGTATCACTTTGTTGCCCAGACTGATCTTGAACTTACGAACTCAAGCAATCCTCCCATTCCAACTTCCCAAATTGCTGGGATTATCGGCGTGAGCCACCATACCCAACTACTTTTGTGTTTTCCTTTAAATATTTATACACAATAATAAAATATGTTGTAACATCCTTGTCTGCTAATTCCATTACCTTGTCACTTCCAGGTCTGTTTCTTTTAACTGACTCTTCTCCTTGTTACAGGTATTTTTTCCTGCTTTTTAGCATATCTAGTAATTTTGTTTGGTGCTGGCATTGTTATTACATTATTAAATGTTTGCATTATATTGTCTTCCTTTAAATAGTATTGGGCTTTCTTCCGCTAGGCAGTGAAGTTAATTGCTAATCTTCAAGATCTGTTTTTAAGCTTTACTAGAGAGAGGCTAGGACTGTGCTGTCCAATAAGGTAGTCACTAGCTACATGTGGCTACTGAAATGTGGCTAATCTGAATTGAGACGTGATAAAGGCATAAAATACACGCTGGATTTGGAAGACCTAGTATGAGAATAAGAATGCAAAGTATCTCATTAACAATTTTATATTGATTACCTATTGAAGACACTTTGGATATACTGTTAAGTAAAAGATATTACTAAAATTCATTTTATCTATTTCTTTTTACTACATATGTGGCATGCATTATATTTCTACTAGACAGCACTGTTCTAGAACAGAGGTCTGCAAACTACAGCCTACAGAATAGCCACCTAGTTTTGTTAATAAAGTTTTATTGGAACTCAGCCATACCTATTCACTTATCTATTGTCTATGACTGCCTTCACACTAAAATTGATTAGTTGTGACAGAGAATATATGACCCACAAGCCTAAAATGTTTGCTGTCTGAAAATTTAACAAAAAATTTCCACCCCTGGTCCAGAGTACCCTTCACTCCAAGGATAGTTCAGCCCTGCTTTCTAACTTGTGATGCCTCCAAGGTCTCCACTGAATGCTTCAGAGCTGAATGAGGACTCCCCTTTGGCTAGTCAGACAACAAACACTTTCCCATTTCATGTGTGCTCTGGGATTTATTCAGCTTACAACTAAAAAAGTCTTTTCTTGCCCAGACTTGTAGAGCATCATTCTATATACTTGTATCCTAATACTCAGCAAAAATTCAAGAGATTCCTATGCATATTTCTGGAGCTCTTTTTCCGCATAGCTTCCTCCTCCTCAGAACTCTGCCCTACTACCTCTCACCACCTCAGCCTCCCCAAACTCTGATCTTCATCTCATCAATTCAGTGAGGCTACTAGGATCTGTTCAGATCCCTCCTTCCTGGATCTGTGGTCTAGAAATTGCTTTCAGACAGAAAACCAGGGCAGTCATTGAATTCACTTTGTTTCTCTTCTCTTAGGGATCACAGTCATATATAGACTGTTGCTCAATGTCCAAAGGCAGTTATTAATTACAATAATTTATAATGGGCAGTTAGATCAGGCTATTGTTATTCCATCATGACTATAAGGTAATGTCCCCTCTACTTATTGTTTGATAGGTAGAACTCACTATGTAGTATACTCTGGGTCTTCAGACTTTCCAAAGATTTGGTAGATTTGACTGACTTATATGGAGCTAGAGAACAAAGTATAGAACTTTTCCTTCGGTTTGCCTAAATAGTTGATGATATGCTATATCATTGACCAGAGTTTCTCATGTCCAGGTTATGACAGAGAAGACAAAGAGGACTTGATAGAAGAAGCTGAAAGAAGGTTAGCTTGGAGCTATGCATTTCAGAATCTATTTGTACATTTATATCAGAAGTACAATAAGCATATTAACAGGCCTAGAAAAGATGACAGTGCAATAGCATGATCTTGGCTCACAGCAACCTCTGCCTCCCAGGTTCAAGTGATTCTCCTGCCTCAGCCTCCCAAGTAGCTGGGATTACAGGCATGTGCCCCCATGCCTGGCTAATTTTGTATTTTCGGTAAAGATGGGGTTTTTCCATGTTGGTCAGGCTGGTCTCAAACTCCCGACCTCAGGTGATCTGCCCACCTCGGCCTCTCAAAGTGCTGGGATTACATGTGTGAGCCACCGTGCCCGGCCATGACGTGCCTCTTTTCAAAGCATGTGAAAAGTTTAGGAAGCAATTATCATTAGTTCCAGATGCTATATTATGTGAAACAAATAGAGCTGTATACCTCCAGATATTTATAGTGAAAAAAAGAACTAATCCAAAATACACATAAATGATAGAGATAGATAGACGGAATCTCCCAAAAAGTTTGTTTTATATTAGTGGCATTTATTTATTAAGAAATAGAAACTACAATCAGCCGATAAAACCAAAAAGGAAATTAAAAGTAAAAACAAACAAGTATCTATATTCTTGCACCTGATTAGAAAAATATTTATTTCATAAAAATGGAGAACCCATTTGTTGAAAATAGAATGAGTAGTTATACTGTTAGTCAAGGTGGAGGAGATGGAAGAGAACTGGGAAGAGAATAACATCAAAGATGGGTGTCAAAAATAGCAGATTCAAGAATCATATAAAGGGGTAGATAAAAAAGGAGTCAAAAAGAAAAAAGGAGAAGGGAGAGGAAAAAATAAAGAATTTGGGGTGCAACAGTGCCAGGTTTATATCAGGTGCTCAAGGAAAGTTTATTAGATAGATAATGGATGGATGGATGGATGAACAGATAGTAGGAACAATATAATAGAAAAGAATAAATGTGATACCTGAAAGTGAGTATTTGATCTTGTAGAACAGAGAAGAAATCTAATGGAGATAGACAGAATTGTCATGAAGGGTTTTGTAGGATGGTAATTTCTAACTATTTTAAGTACAAATAAGTTTTCCCCCAGTTAACTCATGCTTGAAACTTCATCTCAAAGGTCAACTTTCTGAAAGAGACCTTGAACATCAGTCAAGATTAATTCACCTGTTTTATTCCTCTTCTGGCACCTTACATTTTTTCCTTTATAACTCTTATTACAGTTTTGAAAAATGTTTTGGTAACTATTTGTTGAATATCTGTTCTCCCACTAAAGTGTAGGCTCCATGAGGGAACGAATTATGCCTTCACTGCTACCCCCTTGTCATCAGGGTCTGGAATAAAGTCTGGCCCAAATTTACCTCCCAATAAATATTTGTCGAGTAAAGGGTAAGTAAGTGCATGAATTAATAAATGAAGGAGGGTGGTACTGGTGGAAATGCAGAG